ATATATATATATATATATATATATATATATATATATATATATTTTGCAGGGAGTAGGGCTGGAGTGCCTGAGGACTTTATACCATTTACTAGTAGAACTGAATAAAAATGAAGTCATTAAATACTATTTTTTGAAGTGCAATTTTGCAAACTGAGAGCTCGTTAAATTTTACAAATAGCTTTCCACTTATTTCCCTCAATGTATCTCTAGAGTGGGCAGAATTGTGTTTTGTGTGGTAATCAAAAGACAAGGGCTGGGGTTGGGGTTGTGACTCTGTGATAGAGCACTTGCCTTGTATATGTGAGGCACTGGGTTTGATCCTCAGCCCAACATAAAATAAAATAAAGATATTGGTCCATGTACAACTAAAAAAACCCCTTTTTTAAAAAAGACAAGGGCCATAAATCTTCCTTGGTACACTACCTACTAAATTTTTCCATGTGAGACAAGGTTGTACTCTATGCTTCACTGTGATTATGAAATTGGTAGAAAATTTAATTACTATGTACTAACTTATGTATTTATCAACACTCTCAAAGCCTACAACACTTATGCACTCTCTGTACATTACAATAACTTGATTTGAAGATTTTTTTTCTTAAGTTTTCAACACTACTCACATTTGCCTTTATTGACTGATAAACACAATTGACACTTTTTGGTCTGAAACATATTTGTAAATATATGCTCACACTACAGTCCCAGGACACACATTATACAAGCATTATCAAGATAATGTTTGTAACGACATATTTTTTTCCTGTTTCTATCAAAAACATTTTTTTGTGTGTATGTGGTACTAGGTGGTTGAACTAAATGATCCTTTACTATTGAGCCACACTAGAATTTTTATTTTATTTAGAGACAGGGTCTAACTATATTGCTGAGGCTGGCTTTGGACTTGTGATCTGCTTGCCTCAGGCTCCTCAGTCACTGAGATCACAGGTCTGAATCACTTTACACCCAGCTGTATGGACAACATTTTAATATTCTCTTTCAACTCATCTTTTTTTCTCCCCTTCGTATTTGTTTAAAACATGAGCTTTATTCACCAACTTATCTTTTGGCTCCTCATTCACAAAGCAATCTGTTTTCCTAAATTGCTGTTTCATTTTACACTCACACAAGGGAGGTCTGAGGGATTCGATTTTTTCACATCGTCACATCACTGCTTATGATTTTCTTTCTTTTAAAAGAATTGTTATTATGGTAATTCTTATGGATGTAAAATGGTGTCACTGTAGTTTTGATTTGCCTTACCATGATGATTAATGATGTTGAGGGAATTTTCATGTACTTATCTTCCTTTGCCCATCTTTCATTGGATTAATTAACTTTCAATATATTGTCACAAGAATTCTTTATTAATTCTAAATATATAACTGTACTTTCAGATTTATAATTTGCAAATATGTTCTCCCATTCAGTAAATTGTATTATCTCTTGATGACACAGCAAAATTAATGTATGTAAATTTAAATGTATGTACTTTATGTATTTGTTTTTTCATTGATTTTGCTTTTTATTTCATATTTAAAAAATCATCACAGTACAAAGACATAAATATAATTCCTATTAAGAGTTTTAAGCATTTATCTTTTATACATAATTCTATGATTTTCTCCAACTTTGAATCTGTTTCTTTATTGTTTGTTTTTATGATTATATGATACTTGGGGTTACAAATCTTTGAGTGTGAACATTCAATTGGCTTACTACTATTTGTTGATTAAATTTTTCTGTCTGGCTTCTTGGCACCTTAAGCATGCTGGGAACCTTAGACACTCTATTATCTTCCATGAATGTATATATTCATCTTTATTCATCACCTTACTATCTTCTTAATGTAATAAATTCTGAGACCGAGAAATGAGAATTCTCTAATTTTATTCTTTTTCTACATTTTTTTTGTTGTTGTTATTCCAGAACAAAAAGACTCATGAGAAATTTGTGAATGTTTTTATCTCTGATAGAAAAGAGTACATCCTAAAAACATAAGAAATGTATCTTTCAGATAACAAATATATAGATATTTCTTATATTTCCTGCCATTAATTCCTTCCAGAAATATTTTACTGAAATCTCTAGTTCATGATCTTTATTGTAAAGCAAATTAATCTATTTTCCAAACTTCTGATCCCTGAAGTTTTTTTTTTTTTACTAATCATTTAATTTGTTCTTTTTATTCGTCCATTTAGTAATGTCACAAAACTCAAAGTCATTTTTGTGCCACAGATGATGAATGTGCCACTCAAAATATAGTTTCTAATATCCTGAGAAGTCATCTTTGTCTAATATTTCCTCATTGCTCTATGCATATCTCTTTTTTCCAGTACCAAATTCAGACAAAGCAATAAAAAATTGTCTTTAACCTAAGAGTTTCTTGATAAGACTTCAAAAAATATTCGGAAGAACATCAGGAAATTCCTGACTTCAAAATTTTATCTTATACCTGAACATGTCTGGGACTGACCTACTTTAGAAAAATATCAAGCCATACAGGGTGGGTATATGTTGCATTCTACAAATAAGAGGACTTTAAAGCAGAAGAATTGCCCATATAGAGAGATGGTTGGTTAAATATACTGAACACATACATACATACAAAAATTATTAAGCATAACTTGAAAACTGGCTTGTTAGAATTCTGTACATCCAAGTTTCTCTTATAAACAATATTATCTCTCCTTAAAAAAACTACTGTCTTCCAGTACTTTTACAGTAAGGGCACATGGTGCCTACAGATTTTTATGAAAAGGAAAGAATACAGCATTAAAATGGAAAAGAAGGATTATACATTCTAAAAACTGTGACTCAGTTAGAAAGTAGAACATGGGATCCCGCAGAGTATGGTCAGACCAGATGATCAGCAGAATTGTAGCATTGCCCAGCAGAGCCATTAAGTAAACAGAGCAAAAAGGTAGGGAAATCCATGCGTGGAAAGCCTCAAGTCCTGGGATGCCTACAAGAAAAAAGGTGTCCGGGAGGAAAGTAGTAATGTTGGGAAAAGAAGGATTATACATTCTAAAAACTGTGACTCAATATTGCCATTATATTCTCAGAAAAATCAAATGCATTTAGATTGTAATTGAGAAATGTATTAAGATCTTATTTTTCATTTGAACGTATTTCTCTCTTCACAGAACTTCAAGAAAATTGCAATCAACTGATTGTGCCAAGCTGAGATATCATCTTATTTTCAAATGGAAAGACATATGAATTCACTTGATCTCAATGATTAAAAATAGAAAGTGCTTCAGTGGGAATCCCTATTCCATTACTGCTCTGTAATGGAAGCCTACATTCAAAAGAATAAACACTTAAAGCCAATATAGAGATTCAACACACAAAAGCATACTCCAAAGTTTGCTTCTTTAGTATCTGGTGGATTTTTTGCTTGTATGCTTTAAGGATCATTAGAAAAGAGCCAAAATATGCATCTTGGGCTATAGTCACACTCTCAAGACCTACAAAAACGAGAGCCTCTACTTTGAAGTGAAAATATGGACTACATGCTCACGAATCTGCTTGGTCCGCACACCATAGATAATGGGGTTGAGAGCAGGTGGGATAACCACATACAGGTTGGCAACAAGGATGTGGACATAACGTGGAATTTTTTTGCCAAATCGGTGGGTGAGAAAGGAGAAGAGGGACGGGGTGTAGAAAACACACATGACCCCAACATGTGAGCCACAAGTGCTCAGTGCTTTGTGGCGGGCATCTCGTGATGGGAGGCGGAAAACAGCACGGAGAATGTGGGCATAGGAGATCCCAACCAGTGCCAAATCCAAGACGAGGAAAGAAGCCACAAACAGTCCATAGATGGCATTGATGCGAATGCTCGCACAGGCCAACTTGGCAATGCCCATATGCTCACAGTAAGAGTGGGCAATAATTCGAGCTTCACAGAAGGGCAGACGATAGGTTAGGTACAGAATGGGCAGCATGAGCAGAACAGGACGTATTATGATTCCCACAGTAATGCCTGCCAGCACCCGTGGTGTCAGAACGGTTGTATAGTGAAGTGGAACACAGATGGCTACATAGCGGTCAAAGGCCATGGCCAGAAGTACTGCTGACTCCATTCCTGTGAAGGTGTGTATCAGAAACATCTGGACCACACACGCTCCAAAACCAATTTCATGTGCATCAAACCAGAAGATACCTAACATCCGAGGCACTGAGGATGTGGAGAGAGCTAGATCTATGGCTGATAAGATGGCTAGAAAGTAGAACATGGGATCCCGCAGAGTATGGTCAGACCAGATGATCAGCAGAATTGTAGCATTGCCCAGCAGAGCCATTAAGTAAACAGAGCAAAAAGGTAGGGAAATCCATGCGTGGAAAGCCTCAAGTCCTGGGATGCCTACAAGAAAAAAGGTGTCTGGGTGGAAAGTAGTAATGTTGGTATGGAGCATCTTGCCATCAATGAGAAGAGAAGCAGTTGATCACTCCTAGAAAGAAAATTAAGATTTAGAAATGCTTAGCTCAAAACTTCTCCAATAAGCTTAATTTGTATGTGGATTCTTCTTTTTCAGAAAATCAGACGCTAGTAGTTGAGTCCAAAATCAGGTATAGGGACAGACTAAGTATACTTCAGGCAGAAGGGACATGGACTGTATAGTGGGTCTCCCTCTGAGGCTTTGTCCAATAATATTTTATACTCATTCACTCAAATCTCATGCAAAACCTGGAAAAATATTCAAAAACCTGAGATTGATGTTTATGTGGTGATGAGAGTCTTCTTCAGAGACAACGCATACCTTATTTAATTGTATCAACATATAAAATCACAGAAAGGCAAACTAATACCTGCATGCAGAAGATGACAGTATATACAACAATATGGGTGTTCCTGGACAAGGGGGTTAACAGAAAATGCAGCAGAGTAGCTTAAATTAATTTATTTAGTGTCAATATTTTAAATGGTCTATATTTAGAATAATGCCTCAATAACTCATCTTGCCCATGATTACTTATGTAACCCCACAGACACACTACATTTTGTCTCATATATGCAAATTATTGCCCAGATATGTGGAATATTGTTGTTGCTGGAACTCATCTCCAGCAGAGAAATGCATCTCTTTTTAGTCATATCCTGTTAGAAATTAATAAAGATGCCAAGAATTTCTACTTGTTGCCAAATTCCCCAAAATATCCTGGGACAGCCAATACACTTCCCTACATGGAGGAAGTAAGTTTTGTTGAAAGGACACTTGAAAGAAATAAAGACAGTAGTGGTGGTCAACATCAGGGCAAGAAATATGTGCTACTGACTTACCTCACTTCTGTTGTTATCTTTACTTCCTCTCTCCCCTTTTTTTCTTTCCTTCCTTCCTTCACCTGTTTCTGTTCCTCTCTCTTTTGTTCTTTCAGAAAGAAGTGATAGATAGGACTATATAAAAGAGAAGGAATAGACAGAGGAGCATATGAAGAAAGGAAAGTAGGAAAGGAAACCAGTGAAGAGAAGAAAGAAAGGAAAGAGAAGAAGTCTCAGGTATAAATGAGTCCAGAGAAAAGTCATAGAGAAAAGTCTAAATTTCAAGAAGTGTTTTATTAATGATATTTTAAATGTAGATATTTCCCCTGGGCAGTAAATCCTGTGAGACTGTGTGTGAAGTCCATATCCAGTCTTCTTTTTTTCTCTGTCTCCCTCTCTGGAATCAAGAATCCACACTTAACTTTCATCCTCTGATAGTCTTATTTATTAACTTCATTATGGAAATCAATATCCTAATACACACTTGTTCTTGGGAGTAGAGACTATTAATTATGCCACAACTTTAATTTTCCTCTGCAGGAATAGGAAAGACAGTGAATGAATTCTGACAAATCTTTCCTATATGCATATATGAAAACACCAGAGTGAATCTCCACATAACGTGCAACCACAAGACTGGGATCCATCCTAATTAGAATAAGAAGGAATCCATGTTTTTGTCAATATGTCAAAATGTAGTCTACAGTCATATAACTAAAAAGAACAAATTTAAAAAAAAAGAAAAAAAAATTAAGTGTTCCAGGTTTTTCAAAGAAGACTTCTTTTAGTCAGAAAATATTTACATAAATGTGAGCTAGACAATGTCAACTTAATAAATTCACCTGTAGTCTGACCTATAAGGGTTAAACACGAGTCTCTGATCACTATTCATCTTTACCACACATTTAATGGGAAGCTCACCTTGACCAGAAACAGGGATAGAGACCTCTTATATCTACTAAAGAGGAGAGTTTTATAATATACATACTTATAACCCTTGCAGCCTCTCTGAAATTAAAGCTAACTCCAGTCTGTTTATGAACCAAGACTACACATCAGAGTCTCCTGGGGAAGATGCTATTTTCTGCATCAGGGAGAGATGCACAGACAGACCTACCACCCACTTACTCTGGATATGCACATTGTCAATACAAAGTAAGATACTAAAATACTACTAAAACAGGTTTATATGAGGTGAACAGAATCTCTTCTTGGGTAAATTTGGCATCTTGATTTTCTAAGACACTATAATAATGCCGATTTAGAACATTAAAAAAAGTTAACCCAAGTATGGTTGCATGCCATTCCTGTAATCCCAGAAACTTGGGATGCTTAAGCAAGAGGATCACAAGTCCAGCATAGTTGATTTACAAGGCTAGGAGTGCAGTTCAGTAGCAAAGTACTCCTAAATTCAAAGCCTAGTACCCATCCCTAAAAAAGAAAACATATATCCATGTCTTGGTACTCATTAAAAATTATCAAGCTATATTCTTGGGGTCAAATAAGATAAAGTCATTCATATCTTTTCCATGCAGTGTGCAGTCTATTGGCTTCAAATGTAAGTTAATGAAAACAAATTTAAGGCTAGCAGTGTTTCTCAGTAAGAGAGAACTTACTTAGCATGTGTGAGGCTTAGGGTTTGATCCACAGAACTTCCCATATGCAAATTTTTAAAATTAAATTAATGTGAAATAAATTTATAATTAAAGGAAAGGTGTATGATTATCAAAACTTATAAGACAAGAAATAAATATTTCTATGTCCTGATTAAAATTGACATAAAATGCTATTACTTGTAGAAATAAAGCAAAAATTAATCAATACCATATACATGTATACACACACACACACACACACACACACACATATATATATATTTACTTAAAGAGAGGAAGAAGAAGAGTAGGGTTGTCTGAGTTAATATATTAATCAAAATCCTTATCTATATAGCAAGTAATCAATGAATCCAGTCTGAAAAGAAAGAATCACTAAATATTTAAATGAAACCATCATCAAGTATTGTGGAATTAAATGTCAGAATATGCATATAGATATTTTCAGGGTAGATATTTTCCAGAGGCGAGAATTGGAGGTTAGACTGATTGGGATCAGAGAAGGTTCCTACCACTGTACCCTTCAATGTGATATTTTCTATTAATATTTGTGTGATGTTACTATTATGAAATTTAAAATGTGTAAATCTTTCTTATATATTTAAGCAATATGCATTACTTAAACAAATTAAAGTATTAAGCAAAAGTAGTTTTTCATTGTTGATGATTTTCATAAGAAAAAAAATTTTATTCTATTTTTTATTTTTTACTAGACCATAAAAATGATACATATTAATGTGATAGCATGTGATATATTGATACTTGTAAATGGTGTTTAATATTCAATTCAGAGTAAACCTATACCCTCAAACATTTATCATTTATTTACAGTGAAAACTTTCAAAATCTTTTCTTGAAACTTGAAAAAAAAAGCAAATAGTATATTACATAATCTATAGTCTATGCAATAGAATATCAGAAGCTCTTTCTCCTAACTGTAATGTACTTCTAATTAATTAAACTTTCCCCATCTTTCCTTCCCACTACTCTCCCCAACCTATGGAACCCATGGAAATGATCACTTCAATCTATTTCTTTCCTTTTCCCATCCTAAACTCATTTAGATATTATGTATTTTTCATAGTAATTTGAGATCTAATACATAGAATGTAATTACAATGCTTCAAAAGTTCACAAATTCCACTCCTTTTGTCACACCAAATTGCCCCAGAATCTTTGTTGTCTTTAGTGTCCTATCATGCAGGTACAAGAAAGAACTCCGTAAAGCTATTTCACACCTTGTGTTCACACAAAGCAGTCATACCTACAGAGGAGTTTTACTCTTTTTCCAAATGTTATGGAAATAGAAATTGGATCTCCTTTCTTCCTAAGTTCTTAAAATAAAATAAAATATACCCCCACCTAAGGGCATAGTCTGAAAGACAAGACATAGAATTTTTTAATAATGTAGATTACATTGCAATCTAAATTTTCTTCATGATCTTTCCAAATATCCTTCTCCAAGTGACCAGCCTAGCCCAAGTTACCATTGGATGGCATCAAATTTATAAGGAACTTTTATCTAATATTAGAAAAATAGTTTAACATGTTCCCATGCTAAGATTTCAAAACCCAAGTTTCTATTTTGTACTCCATGGTTTCTATTTTTTTTCCCTCCCCTGAGTTATACAATACAAAACAGCTCAAATGACTGTGAAAATGACATTGCTATTTATTCTTTAAAAATATGTGATTAATTTAAAATAGCAAAAAAAGAACTCCAATGTAAAATATCTCCAAACTTTGGACAAACATCTTAAGTTGTTATAAAACAAATAATGTCAAATTAAAATATTGATAAATCGTTTGTAATTAAATACAAGGACACTACTCCCAAAGTTCCTATTAAGAGCACAAAGAGGTTCTGATTGGGATGATATATGCATTAAATACACCAGTTTTAATTATATTTTAAATATACCTTATGTTCATAGCCCATTATCATATAATTTCTTTCTTGACTTATAATTATCATGAAAAATATATTGACATATTAAATTTCTTGAATGAATCACACATAAAAAATAGTACATTAAGTACTAATAGTACAAATTTCTAAATAAATCAAAGGCAATTTAATATAAGAATAAGAACCAAAAAAAAAAAAAAAAGCTCTAGTACTTCAAAGGACTTTGAAGTATATCCAATGAGTACAATAAAACACTTTTATCACCATTCCTCATCAGGAAAATGCTAATTCACACCACAGGGTGACACTCTCTAGCCCACCCAGCATGACTGCAATGTAGAGCACTCATCCCAACTGCTTATAAAGACATGAAGCAACAACTGCTGGGTTCAGAAACAGGAAGAGGCTATTAAAAGTAAATGTCCCCTATAGACTAGTAATTACTGAGGAAAATATCCAAAATAAATGAGTGATTGTGTTCAACAAAATACACTTACAAAAATATCCATAGTTCTTTTATTTGTAAAAAGAAAATACTAACTTAAATATCCTACTTCAATAAAACATGTAAGTATATTTATTTACCCATTAAAGTAATGAATTCATAAATACTATATATGAAGCTATAAGACA